TTAGCTCATTTAAGAATAAGAAAAAGGAGTTTTCATTTTACCTTTACTCAGTCCTTCCTCCATGCTCTTCCTTTCTGTAGATACAATTTTCTGACCTATATTATTTTCCTTCTCTCTAAAGAACTTGTATTTTAATATTTCTTATAAGACAGATCTGCTGGTGACAAATCCCCTCAATTTTTATTTGTCTAAGAAAAGTCTATTTTTCCTTCACTTCTGAAGGATAATTTTTTAGGGTACAGAATTCTAACTTGGTGGTTTATTTCTCTCAACACTTTAAATATTTCACTCCCCTCTCTTTTTCCTGCATGGTTTCTGAGAAGTTGATGTAATTCTTATTTTTGTTCCTCTGTAGGTATGGTGGTCCTTTCTTCTCGCTTCTTTCAGGATTTTTTCCTTATTTTTTGATTTACTGTAATTTGAAAATGATATGCCTAGGTATAGTTGTTTTGGGCATTTATCCTGCTTGGTGTTCTCTGAGCTTCCTGGATCTGTGACTTGGTGTCTGACATTAATTTGGGGAAATTCTCAGTACATTATTGTTTCAAGTATTTCCTTCTGTTCTTTTCTCTCCTTCTTCTCCTTCTGGTTTTCCCATTACACGTATGTTACACCTTTTGTAGTTGTCTCACAGACCTTGGGTATTCTGTTTTTTTGTGTGTGTGTGTGAGGAAGATTAGCCCTGAGCTAACATCTGTTGCCAGTCCTCTTCTTTTTGCTGAGGAAGATTGGCCCTGGGCTAACATCTGTGCCCATCTTCCTCTACTTTATATGTGGGACGCCTGCCACAGCATGGCTTGATAAGTGGTGCATAGGTCCGGGCTAGGGGATCCAAATCTGTGAACCCAGGGCCACCGAAGTGGAGTGCACAAACTTAACCACTACACCACTGGGCCGGCCCCTCTGTTCTGTTTTTTTGTCTTTGTTCTCTTTGTTTTTCAGTCGGTTTTCATGGATTCTGTTGATTTATTCTCTAGCTCAGAGATTCTTTCCTCAGCTGTGTACAGTCTACGAGTAAGCCTATCAAAGGCATTCTTCATTTCTGTTACTGTGTTTTTTTATCTCTAGCCTTTCTTTTTTGGTTCTTAGAGTTTCCATCTCTCTGCTTTTATTGCTCATGTGTTGTTGCTTGCTGTCTACTTTTTCCATTCAGGCCCTTAGCATATTAATCATAGTTGTAAATTCCCAATCTGGTAATTCTAACATCCTTGCCATGTCTGGTTCCAATGCTTGCTCTGTCTCTTCAAATGGGTTTTTTGCCTTTTGGTATGCCTTGTAATTTTTTCTTGATAGCTGTATGTCATGTACTGGGTAAAATGACAGGACTTTAGTGATGTGGTGGTGAGGTGTAGGGGGTGGGGAAGCATTCTATTGTCCTATGATTAGCTCTCAGTCTTTTCGTGAGCTTGTGCCTCTGGTCTGAACTTCACAAGTGTTTCCCAGTTTCTTCCTCCTGCCTTAGGTGAGACAGAATGGCTAGAAGGGGCTGGAGTTGGGTATTTCCCTTCCCCCAGGTCAGTTAGGCTCTGAGTTTTAACCCCAGAAGATTAAGCTCTGGTTAACTAGTTTCCCCTGAGGGCAGGCCTTGTGAAGAACAGAATGTTCTGACATTTTAAAAAATAGTTCCTTTTCCCCTCCCCCTGCCAGAAGCAGGAAGAGATTTTTCTCTGATATTTACTGTGAAATCTGATTGAGCTCCTGGAGGTAAGTCTGCTGACAATATTGTGAGCCCTTGTATACGACTGGGTCCTCCTGGAGTTTTTAACTCTCAGAGTTGACCACAATGAGCCTCCAGCAAATTGTCAATTACAGTTTGGATTTTTCTACTCTGGTTTCCGACGGTGAGTCTCTTCTCAGGTAAGGCACGACTCCCTGTATTTGCCTGTCTGTCTCTCCAATCTTGGGGGCGTTGGTTTGCCCTGCGTCTTCCCCCCTCTTTTGGATCCAAGAAGAGTTGTTGATTTTTCAGTCTGTTCAGCTTTTTACTTGTTATTAGAATGAAACGTTGACTTCCAAGCTCCTTACATGTGAAACCAGGAACTAGAAGTCTCCATTTAAGATATTTAAAACATCTATACGATTTAAAAGTAATAATATAACAAATACCTGAGTATGCTCCTCCGATTTTCTTATATTTTTGTCTGATTTTCCATCTTTTTGTCTTATTACTCTTTTAGGGAAATTTCCTTTGTTTTCTTCTAACTCTTCTATTGAGTTTTTCATTTATGCTCTCATATTTTTAATTTTCAGAGGCTCTTTTTTTCCCCATCTGAGTATTGTTCTTATTTCAGGGTGCAGTATTTGTTTTAGCTCTGAGGACATTAATTAATTATATATTTTTTAACTTTTTTTTGAAAAATATTTGTTTAGTTCTTTTTTGTCTCCCAGTTTGTTTTGGAGTCTGGTGTTCATTTTAGAGTCTTTCCTTGGATGTTTGATGATTGTCGTATGCTCATAATTAAGAATGGAAAATTAAAACCTTGTTTTGAAAGCTTTGTAGATGGCGGGTCTTGTGGACAGTGAGCCTCTACACTGGGTGATGCGGCTGAGTTATTGCCTTGGACTGCTTCCTTTTTGAAGGGCTGCTCAGATCCCCCAGAGAAGACTTAGCCAGTCCTCTGCCTAAAGAGTATATACCTGATACTATGTGGGGGAGTCAAATAGAGGAAGAAGGCTGGGGGTCTCCATAGTCAGTGTGTAAAATTTCACTTACTAACCCCTCTCCCCTCCGTCTATTTCTCACTGTATACTGCTGCCTTCATCTCTGCCTGGTGTTCTGCAGTCCAGAGACCCTCTGTTTTATTCTGTCCTGAGTATAAACATCCAGTCTTTTCCTCTAGTGGGGGGATGGGTGTTGCCTGTCTGCATGGAGCTGGGGAAAGGATATGAAATTCTAACTACTTCCAAGTTGACTTTAAAAGAATCCTTTCAGTCCTGCCCTTAATGCCATTTTGATAGTTATCTGGTACTGCTAATTACTCAGCCTTTTGTTAATCTGTGATATAAGTTGGTGTACTCTGGGGTATCCTTCTGCTAGGTCAAATACCACTTGTATCAACTTTCTAGCTTCCAAATTTTTGTGGCTGTTGACTTTTCTGTATTTTTTGCCCTTGTGAGTTTAGGCTTTTCTGTTTTCTCTCCTTCTTTCTTTCTCTATAGTTTCAAAATGACAATATGGTATCAAAATAACAATATAATTACTAAAAACCATTAAAAACTTTTTTGGGGGTCTTTTTGTCCTTAGGATAATCCCATTAGGGATGTACAATCAAATTACTGAGTTCTGAAGTCACTGGAAAGAATTCTGTGGTGATTATGCTACCAAGTTGATATGTGGTTAGGTTCCTTGCTTCATTCTACTTTTGATTTCTAGGGATTGTTCTTTTCTTTTGATTTAATTTTGTTTCATAATTATGTATGGTTCCAAACTCAAAGCTAAGTACACTTAGTGAAATCTAGCTTCTATCCCTGCCCCGTATACCCTGTTTCCTCCATTATCCTATAGGCAACTATTGTCTTTAAAATAGATTCCTTCTTTGCCCCACTTCTCTTTATCTCCTTACCCTGATTTATTTTCCTTTATACCTCTTATCACTCCCTGACATTATTACCTTCTTTCACTGATAGAATGTAAGCTCCTGAGAGCAGAGACCTGAGATATGCTAAAATATAGTCATGCGCCTCATAATGATGTTTCAGCAATGACCAACAGCATGTATGATAGTGGTCTCGTAAGATTAGTACCATATAGCCTAGGTGTATAGCTATACCATCTAGGTTAGTGTGAGTACACTCTATGATATTTCCACAATGATGAAATCACCTAACGACACATTTCTCAGAACATATCCTGTCGTTAAGTGATGCACAACTGTAAATGCTTTTCTTAGTTCCCATTTAGGCCCATTCAAAGGGATATTTGTGATTGTTTTTTCCCTTTTTGAGTGTAGGTTTACAGCATAGTTTGTTTTATTTTTTAAAATTTATATTATTTGGTCAACACAGCTATTTCACATCAACACATTTTAATTATACCTTTATAGCCATTTAAAATCACACAGGGGGGCCGGCCCTGTGGCTTGGTGGTTAAGTGCGCGCGCTGCAATGCTGGTGGCCCGGGTTCGGATCCCGGGTGCGCATCGAGGCACCACTTCTCCGTCCATCCTGAGGCCGAGTCCCACATACAGCAACTAGAAGGATGTGCAGCTATGACATACAACTATCTACTGGGGCTTTGGGGGGAAAAAATAAAATAAATAAAAAAAAAAAAATCTTTAAAATCACACAGGGCAGTGTGATAGTGGATATAAGAGTGACAAGGAATGAGGGACCCCTGCATTCTGAGCTGTTCTCTCTTCCTGTATACAGATGATGTAGGAGTAGGTGAAGATGGCCTGTGGCATGTGCTGCTGTGTCGGAGAGGCCCCAGCTTCCATGATATCTTGTTCAACAGCCCATTCAAGACATAAGAAAGTGTTATGCAGGAGCACGGGGTTGCTTCAATGTTAGAGGGAACTAGAATTTGTTTACAGTCAGTTGTGCTAGAATGTGACATATGTGTTCCCAGAAATCACCACACTCTGTAAAATTGTTCAATAAAAACCACAGAGTTTATGGGCAAATTGGGATTAGGGGCACAACACTCAAAACCTTTGTCAGTGATACATTAGAAGGAACATGATAAAAACAGTAGCAAAGTTTTTGCACATGTTAAATGGTGAAGAAATGCGTAAACACTGCAATAAATATGCCACTTTACCTTGAAAAGGCCTAATGTTTGCTTATAGAAGTGGGCATTGAAAGGGTTGCAGCCTTTAAATTCAGCTGGGTGAAATGTTCTGTATTCACCTGTTGTTACTCATGTACAAAATTGCATCATAAGCAAATGGTAAATTTGTGTTGTGCTCAGATTGTTTTCTAATAATCATGTTGGAACAATTTATGTTTTTTAAGCAGGTGGTATAGCAGAACTGACTGTAGTTTTTCTCTTTCTCCTTTAGATGATATGCCAGTGGGAACTGTTGGCAAACGTGCTTCAAATGAGTTCTTGATGTGTGGAGGGTATGTTTACATATCTTTAACTGAAAGATTTTCATATTTTGGGCTTTTTTGCAAGTAAAGTTATAGAACTTTGACTATGTTCTTGATTCTAAAATTTATTTTATGGGCCGGCCCCATGGCTTAGCGGTTAAGTGTGCGCGCTCCACTGCTGGCGGCCTGGGTTCGGATCCCGACGCGCACCAGACACACCGCTTCTCCAGCCATGCTGAGGCCACGTCCCACATACAGCAACTAGAGGGATGTGCAGCTATGTCATACAACTATCTACTGGGGCTTTGGGGGAAAAAATAAATAAATAAAAAAAATTAAAATTTATTTTATTTGTTTCACAATTTAATCATTTCTTTAAAAAATTTTTTTAAATTATGGTAAAAAACGTAAAATTTGCCATCTTAACTATTTTTTAACTTTACAGTTCAGTAGTATTAAGTATATTCACAGTATTGTGCACCAGATCTCCAGAACTTTTTCATCTTGCAAAACGGAAACTCAGAACTCATTATGTAACAACACTCCCCTTTTCCCCCTGCCCCCAGGCACTGATAAACCTACCATTCTACTTTCTGTTTCTATGACTTGGACTATTTTGGATACCTCATATAAGGAGAATCATACGATATATATTGTTTTGTGATTAGCTTAGTTCACTAAGCATAATGTCTTCAAGGTTCATCTATGTTGTAGCATGTGTCAGAATTTTCTTCTTAAGGCTGAATAATATTCCATTCTGTGTCTATACCGCATTTTGTTTACCCATTCATCTGTCGATGGGCACTTCGGTTGCTTCCACCTCTTGGCTATTGTGAATAATACTGCTATGAATGTGAATGTGCAAATGTCTGTTCGAGACCCTACTTTCAATTCTTTTGGATATATTCCCAAAAGTGGGGTTGCTGGATCCTATGGTAATTAATCCTATTTATAATAGTTTGAGGAGCCGCCATGCTGTTTTCCACAGCAACTGCATCATTTTACATTCCTGGCAACAGTGCACAAGAGATCCAGTTTCTCCACATCCTGGTCAACACGTGTTATTTTCTATTTTTTTGGTAATAGGTACCTTAATGGGTGTGAGGCAATACAGGCGTTTCTCAGAGCTGTTGCAGTTTCAATTCTAGACCACCGCAATAAAGCGAGTCACAAGCGAGTTTTGGTTTCCTGTGCATATAAAAGTTATGGTTACACAATACTGTAGTCTATTAAGTGTAGTAGCATTATGTCTAAAAAAACAGTGTACGTAACTTAACTAAAAATACTTTATTGCTAAAAAATGCTAACCATCATCTGATCCTTCAGATCCTTGATCCTTGTTAACAATAGTAACATCAAAGATCACTGATCACAGATGACCGTAACAAATGTAATAATAATGAAAAAGTTTTAAGTATTGTGAGGATTACCAAAATGTGACAGAGACACGAAGTGAGCAAATGTTGTTGGAAAAATGGCACTGATAGACTTGCCACAAACCTTTGATTTGTAAAAAACATGATATTTGTGGAGCGTAATAAAGCGAAAAGCAATAAAAACAAGGTATGCCTGTATCTCATTGTGGTTTTGATTTGCCTTTCTCTAACAATTAGTGATTTTGAGCATATTTTCATAGTATATGAAAATGGTCATTTGTATATCATATTTGGAGAAATTGTCTATTCAAGTCCTTTGCCCATTTTTTTTTTTTTTTTGTGAGGAAGATCAGCCCTTAGCTAACATCCGTGCCAATCCTCCTCTTTTTGCTGAGGAAGACTGGCCCTGAGCTAACATCCGTGCCCATCTTCCTCCACTTTATGTGGGATGCCGCCACAGCGTGGCCTGACAAGCAGTGTGTTGGTGCGCGCCCGGGATCCGAACCCGGGTCTCCAGCAGTGGAGCGCATGCACTTAACCGCTACGTCATGGGGCCGGCCCCTTTGCCCATTTTTTAATCAGGTTTTTTGTTGTTGTTGGGTTGTAGGATTGCTTTATATATTTTGGATATTAACCGTTGATCAGATATATGATTTACAAATATTGTCTCCCATTCCACAGGTTGTCTTTTCACTCTGTTGATGTGTCCTATGAGCACAGAAGTTTTAAAATTTGATAGTCCCATTTGTCTGTTTTTCATTTTGTTTGCTTGTGTTTTTGGTGTCATATCGAAGAAATCATTGCCTAATTCAATGTCACAAAGCTTTTCTCCTGTGTTTTCTTCTAGGAGTTATATAGTTTGGGGTCTTATTTTTATTATTATTATTTTTTTATTTTTTGAGGAAGATCAGCCCTGAGCTAACATCCATGCTAATCCTCCTCTTTTTGCTGAGGAAGACTGGCTCTGAGCTAACACCTATTCCATATTCTCCTCCTTTTTTACCCCCAAAGCCCCAGTAGATAGTTGTATGTCATAGTTGCACAATCCTTCTAGTTGCTGTATGTGGGACGCCACCTCAGCATGGCTTGATGAGCGGTGAGTAGGTCTGCACCAAGGATCCAGATCGGTGAACCCTGGCCACCAAAGTGGAGCACGTGAATTTAATTGCATATGCCAC